AGCAACACTTGCAATCCCATTTACAGTGAGGGAACGATCCTAGAGTTGCAAATCACAATGGAATTCCATCGGCAACTCATCCACCAGCACCACTTGCAACCCCATTTACAATGCGGGAACGATCCTACAGTTGCAAATCACAATGGAATTCTGTCGACCACACATGCACGAAAAACAGTTGAAACCCCATTTACAATGCGGAACCGATCCGAGACCGATCCGAGAATGATCCGAGACCGATCCGACCACACACGAGACCGTCTCGCAACCGTCGCACCGCAGAGGTAGATCATCGAGGTTCGGGGACGGACTTTGTATGGAAAAACATAGGGCTTCGTGCATCTGCTATCTCTCAAAAACGCATTTCGTGCGAGACTTCCTCCAAAACTCCATCGGCAACTCCTCCACCAGCACCACTTGCAATCCCATTTACAGTGAAGGAACGATCCTAGAGTTGCAAATCACAATGGAATTCCATCGGCAACTCCTCCACCAGCACCACTTGCAATCCCATTTACAGTGAGGGAACGATCCTACAGTTGCAAATCACAATGGAATTTTGTCGACCGCACATGGACGAAACACAGTTGAAACCCCATTTACAATGCGGAACCGATCCGAGACCGATCCGACCATGATCCGAGCATGATCCGACCACACACGAGACCGTCTCGCACCCGTCGCACCGCAGAGGTAGATCATCGAGGTTCGGGGACGGACTTTGTATGGAAAAACACAGGGTTTCGTGCATCTGCTATCTCTCAAAAACGCATTTCGTGCGAGACTTCCTTCAAAACTCCATCGGCAACTCATCCACCAGCACCACTTGCAATCCCATTTACATTGCGGGAACGATCCTACAGTTGCAAATCACAATGGAATTCTGTCGACCGCGCATGCACGAAAAACACTTGAAACCCCATTTACAATGCGGAACCGATCCGAGACCGATCCGACCATGATCCGAGCATGATCCGACCACACACGAGACCGTCTCGCACCCGTCGCACCGCAGAGGTAGATCATCGACGTTCGGGGACGCAATTTGTCTGGAAAAACATAGGGTTTCGTGCATCTGCTATCTCTCAAAAACGCATTTCGTGCGAGACTTCCTTCAAAACTCCATCGGCAACTCATCCACCAGCACCACTTGCAATCCCATTTACATTGCGGGAACAATTTCTTTGACTAACTCGTTCCCTAACGAACTCTTTCTTTGCTAACTCTTTCTTTGCTCTTTCTTTGACTAACTCTTTCTTTGACTACCTCATATATACTGACTAACTCTTTCTTTGACTAACTCTTTCCCTCACTAACTCTTTCTTAGACTAACTCTTTCCCTCACTAACTCTTTCTTTGACTAAGTCTTTCCCTCACTAACTCTTTCTTTGACTAACTCTTTCCCTGACTAACTCTTTCCCTCACTAACTCTTCCTTTGACTAACTCTTTCCCTGACTAACTGTTTCTTTGCTAACTCTTTCTTTGACTGACTCTTTCCCTCACTAACTCTTTCTTTGACTAACTCTTTCCCTGACTAACTGTTTCTTTGCTAACTCTTTCTTTGACTGACTCTTTCCCTCACTAACTCTTTCTTTGACTAACTCTTTCCCTGACTAACTGTTTTTTTGACTAACTCTTTCTTTGACTAACTCTTTCCCTGACGAACTCTTTCTTTGCTAACTGTTTCTTTGACTAACTCTGTCTTTGACTAACTCTTTCCCTGACGAACTTTTTCTTTGCTAACTCTTTCTTTGACTAACTCTTTCCCTGACATTCTAAAAGTCCGTAACACGGAAGTTTCTCCCCCTAAACTTCCTTTGATAAAGAGCAGAAAGATAGATTAGATAGACTGGTAGATTAGATTAGATTTACATTTATATTAGATTAGATTAGATTTAGATAAGGTAGATAGATACACCATACCATGCTAGGACATATGTCTACACCATAAGCAAACCTGGGGGACGGACCAAGTAGGGTCCCTGCTAGACCAATTACAGCATGTCTATAATATAGAGGACATATGGGAAACCTGCAAAACGCCACACTTTTGTGCTGGCGAATTTTACGTCAATAAATTGGTGAAATACCCCCCATTACTGTTGAAAACCATGTCCGTTGTAAGGCACGATCGTAGGCAGGATCGTCTGGAACCGATCGCAAAGCTTGATCCCAAAACAGCCTGAGAGCCTGTCTACTCTGAGTACCCGGCCTGGTAAACATTTACAGTTTGCGAACTGGAAAAATCCACCATTTTTAATGGGTAAATCCACTACAAATGGTCATTTTCAATAGCTATGTGGTGGTTAACTATAACATACTATATCATACTATAACTATAGCTGGTTAATAGGTAAATCATCTATAAGTGGGCCATGTTCAGTAGCTATGTTAAATTACCGGAGGGTACTATTTCCATGTTTCTTAGTAAATTACAATAGTTCACTAACCCGAAATAAGGTTTTTTCTTGGGATAGTTATCCCTACTCCCATGATTCC